ACTTGATTTTCAGTGGGTTCTAGTTGCTGTAGAGTAGCTAGAACAAATACAGCTGTTTTCCCCATCCCTGATTTTGCTTGACATAGAATATCCATACCCAATATAGCTTGTGGAATGCATTCGTGTTGAACTATTCAAAACAAAGGAATCAAAAAAATTAAAGCATATCAAAGCATATTTAAAACTAATTTCTTGTAACAGAAATATAAAAACCTTCAGATGGATGTTCAAATCCACAATCCATAATTGATCTAACAATTTCTGGCTTAAGTAAAAAATCTTTAAAAGCGGAACTGTGAATTGAAACATATGTTCCTTTAACTTTTTCTTTCCCGGCTCCATCGATTGATCCTTCGACTACAGGTTCAGTTTGTTCTTCATCTTCATAATCCAATAGGTCTTCATGATCAGCCATTTTACTAAGGGAATTAATGATTTTATTTAAAAATACTTATTTCGAAATTAGGTATGTAATAGTTTTAAATTAGAATTAATATTGACAGAATAAATTAATTCTCTTTAACATAAAAAAAAAATTACAAATATATTAAAAAAAAACAAGTTTTTATTTACAAAAAGGAAATTTAAATAATTAAATCATTAATAAAAAACGATTAATTAGAGAGCTACAAATTTTGATAACTCTGTGATAAAGATAGTAACGATCAACTTATTACGCATTGAATTTAACGCGTTTTTATAAGAAATAAAAATTTAAGTGGTAATCTAATAAAACGTAAATATACACTATTAAAGAAAAAAGCTGGTAGAGAAACAAATAAAACAAAAAAAGCAAATCACTAATGCAATTCAAAAAAATAGCTATTTAATATATTACTCTGAAGAAAGACCGGCTACAATTCTTTCCTAATCTGATACAATCTCTAACAATAAAATGTAATAGGCAACATAATTGAAAGTATACCGACGGTTTACAATTTAAAATGTAAATTTTGCAATACACGCGTAAAAAGGCGAGAATAAGTAATTAAAAAAAGTAAGAGCGTAAAAACTAATGACTATTTTCAAAAAATTAATTATCATAATGTATTTTTTGAGAAATGCAAAATGGACCCTTGCTTTTCGAAATAAAATTAAATATAAAAAAATTATAAGATACGTAATTCAATATTGTGAGTAAAAATTCAAGAACAAATATTTAATATTATAAGATTTTAATTAAGAAAAAATAAACGATGTAAATTTACTAACCTGATAAGTTTTAAGTGCCGGAATTCTTGTAAGTTTCAAGCAAGCATCAAGAACGCTCAATCGAAACAGCTCGATTTTGCTATAATTTACTACTACGGCTTTTCTACTCTACCGCAAAAATATTATTCTTTCAATTAAGTTTTACTCTATGAGCATTCTTTCTAATACTATTAGTGACACTTTTTAGGTACTATACCTAAAAAATAGATAATATTTATTAAATACTTATTGCAAATTTAAATAAACATAGTTATTTATTGTTTATCGTTACATTAAAATGTAAATTAGTAATTTAAATGACGATATATTTGTTAATTTCATTCAGTCCGTTACTTTTTAATTTAAAAAATTTTATATTTTATTTTGAAATATATATATACACAGGCACATACATACACCTACACGCATACGAACACGCACATACACACGTTCGCGTGCTTCTACAAAAACACAACAAAAAAAGTTTATTTTTCCCTTTTTTTTTTATAATTTTACTTACAATTTTCTAAAAATGAGCCTGCTACATACTATAAAACCTACAGACGATGATTTAACTGCAATAAAATATATAGGCGATTGGGAATTCATTCCTGAATCCGTTTTAATTCATATTTTTCAATACCTATCACCCAAAGAATTAATAAATGCAGGTTTGACTTGCAAATCTTGGAATAGAGTTAGCTATGATGATTATTTATGGAAAAATCATTTTTGTATTAATTTTAAAGTAGATCATAATATAAAAATTTTATCAAGGAAATATTCATGGTATGAAGAGTATAAAAGATTAATTTATCACTTGCCTGTAGTTCAAACTGAAATTTTAAAAAATCATACTCATCAAGTGCTTCATGTTAGTTTTGCTCATAATGGTCAATTATTTGCTACTTGCTCAAAAGATGGCTTTATATTAGTTTGGAATTCAAAATATCCAGCTGATATTAAATACAATCAAGACATGAAGATTTTAGGTTGGAAATTTACTCAATTTTCTCAATTTAATCAATCTGATGAACTTTTATTGGTATCTGGTGTATGTTTAGAAACTCCACTGTGCACTTCTGGAGAAATAGCTGTTTTTAGTCTTGAAGGCAAGTTAAAAAAAATTTTATTAACCTTCCTTCATCATTATTTTAAACCAAACTATACTTATCTTGAATAATTTATCTAATATCATTATTAACACTGTTAATGTTTTATTTTACTGTAAGTCAACACTCTTTAAATTTGTATTTAACATTTATTTATTTATTTTTTTTTTTTTATCCACCTGTATTTATTACTAATTTGTTTCATATACATTTTTAATTTTTTTTACCATTAATTGTTATTTAAATGATTCAAATAATTATTTTGCTCCATGATTTGAAAATTAATTGTAAACCACACAGGCAAAAAAAAACCTAATCATAACTTAATTTAACTACTAATATTTTAAACCCAAATTGTTTAAAATGTATTTGTTAAAACAGAAATCTGTTTCAAACAGAATTATAAATTATAAATTTTGTTTGATTTTAAATATAAAATGACAGAATCCATAGATTTTAGCGTGTAATCTAAATGCAATGGCAAATCTTGTTTAGAAAAAAAAAAAAAAAAAAATTTTTTTAGTTGAGAACTTAATAAGGTAATTTCATCTTCAGTTAAACAAATTTTTTGTTTTTGTAATATTGCGATTTTTAGATATTAAATAATAATTGAAAATTTATTTGATATATAAAGACATAATGTATAAATAATATTTAAATTACTTTAATTTTTAATGACAAAAGATAGTTTAGACATTATAAAATTTGTTTAAAAAATAACAATAACCATTTAATTAAAAACATTTTATTTATTATTGTTAAAAATGTTTTTTTAGATGAATTTAATTTGCAATGCAGAATTGTCAATAAACCATATGACGTTTTTGGAACGTGGTACAGTGAAAATTATTTATTATCTGGAAATATTTTTTGTTTGGGAAATTTAATAACCTGCTCAATTTTAAAATTAAATAAAGCATCACAAGAAACTTCTTCCGAATATATACCAATTATAAGTCATCTATTTAAATTTTATAATAAAAATGCGAGTTCGATTCGTGGTATTTTGGTAGCCAATTGTTTTAAACGAGATGATGATAAAAATAATTTAGAAAATTCAGAAATATCTCACATTTTAATGGATTTTAAAGATGGATCTCCAGTTTATCAAAATGATGATAATCACGACGTTCATTTAGAAAAAATAAAAGAATCAGATAAATCATTACAAATGTAAGTAATTCAAATTAGTTTTTTTTTATTTTACTTCAGTTATGATTTTTGTTTGATATTTAATTATAATAAATAAAAAAAAATCCATCGAAATAAACTTTACAGGGAGATCGTCAATTGTTTTTTTTTTTTACAACAAAACTTTTACACAAAATAGTTGATGACAAACCATTTTTTTTTTTTTTAATTTTTTAATGCCAGATTTCATTTATTTTTATGCATACTCAGAAATTATATAAAAAATTACCTTATTCACCTTTAATTATATATTATTATTGTTTGAATTGCATTAATTTATAACATTTTGTCACCTTTGTTATTCGTTTGATAATAATCTGAAACTTTAGAAAAAATCGTTAAGCGTTTGCCCTGTTCTTAAAAAAAAAAAAGAAAAATTATATAATTATATAATATTTAATAGAAATGTCTTTTACTTCAGAAACACTTCAACTGAAGAATTTCATGAAAACATTGATTATTCACAAAAAGATGGAAATACCATTTATGATAATGAAACAGATGAAAAAATTGAAATAACCAAAAGAAATAAATCACAAGACTCCAATTGTACAGGTAAACATAAAACTAAAAAATAAAAATTTAATTGATAAAAATTATTAAATAACTATTATTTTTTATTTTCCAAAAGATAATGTCATAGAAGAAAATGAAACTTATCAATTACCTACCATCAATAATGATGATGATGATGATGAATGTTCAGAAGAAAATGATGAGCCTAATTTTGAAAAATTATTAATTTTTACAACTGGATCTGAAACTTTTGCTCCTCATCAAATCGGTATGTTATTATAATAACAATTTTATGTTATTATAAATTGAATTTAAAAAAAAAAAAATTGATTGCAAAAAATTAACTTGATAAATATATATATATATATATATATATATAGTTAAAGTTTAGTAAGAGTTAATTAGGTTAATAAAGCATATTTTTTTTATTTTAACTGCAAGTAAACAAGTAGTTTCTTTGTTAAAAAATAAAATGTTATTGTTTTAGCATAAAAATATGAGTAATGATATTTCCTTTTGGAAATTTTCCATAATTGGATTTTCAACTACATATTATAATGTTAAGATTTTGGCGCGTAAATCAAAACATCTGTCAAACATTTTTTTTTTTTTTTGTTTTTTCATTTGTGCAATGCAAAATTCAAATACTTGAATGAGTCTGAGTTAAAAAAAAAATAAAATTCCTTATAATAAAATCAAATCGCATTCCATTGTTTTATTGATTTAATAAATGCCGCCGATTAATTCCTGGTATTTATTCTTGTTATTGTCACACCAAAGAACACATATATTTAAAAAAAAAAAAAAAAACTCATCGTAAAAAACTAATCAGATACATAACAAAAAAAAAATTCATGATGAAAAAAAAAATTATTATGAGTGATATATAACGATAATTTTATTCAATTTTTTTTAGGTTTTAAAAAAATCAAACCAATAATTTTTCCAAAAGAAATGGAACCCGGTCCTACTCTGGCTCAAAGAATTGCAGAAAAAGAAAAAAAGAAAACAGAATCATCTTCGACCCCCGAACCTGAAATTAACTGGCAGGATTTTGACTCAATTGAAGAGAAATTTGACAAAGCAGATCATCTCATAGATTTACATGGTCATATAATAGGAATGGCTCTTTCTCCAGATCATAGGTTCGCTTTAAAATTTACTAAAATACAGAAAAAAAACTAAAATTCATTTTTCTTTCTTTTTTTTTCTTTAATAGATATTTATACGTGAATAATAGGCCTTGGCCTCAAGGATGCGTTATTAGAAATCCGTTAAATCCTCCACCCATTGCTCAAGAAATTGATATTCACATAATTGATTTAATAACAATGAAAGAAGTTGGAACAATGTTAAGAGCCCATAAAGCCTATACACCAAATAATGCATGTTTTTTTATTTTTTTAAACGTTTGCAACGAATATGTGGCAAGGTACGATTTTCTATATTTCACACAGGTATCTTATACACGAACAGGATTAATATTAATCCACGTGACAATGCTTTAACTTTACTTTTTATATTATTTAAATAAAAAATTCGATGGGCAAAACATTTTATTAAGGAATAAAACAAAATTATTATATGTATTAAATATTTTCTGACATTGAAATCTCCTTCGAAATCGATCTCATTAATAATTAATCAATTTTTTAATAAATTCATAAGTCACGTGATGCGACAAAGTTTTCATTGTTTTATAAAAATTTTTTTTTTAATTGTTTTCAAGTGGGGCCGAAGACAAACACGGTTACATATGGGATCGATATTATGGAATTTGTTTGGCAAAATATCCACATGATGATGTTGTCAATTCTGTTGCTTTTAATCCTTGTGATTCTGAAATGTTGGTCACGGCATCTGATGATTTTACTATTAAAATTTGGAGATCTAAACACAAAGTTAAACACGATCTTAAAATTGAAAATATTTCTAATTTACCGAAAGCTTCTGAAATTAAAAAAAATAGTATTTGATGTAAAAACAAATCCCCCTTTAATCAGTACATACACACTTTGTTTTTTGTTGTTGTCTATTTATCATTGTATAAAAATTTATAAATAATATTAATTTCAATATTATTATTATTTTAACTATAATTCATGAGTAAATTTAAGATACGTTGAAATCGTCTGTAAATATTTGTTTTTTAAAATAAATTATAACAATTTTTACGTACTAATTGTTCGATGACATTAAATTATTAGCTTATCAAATTAAAGTTATTGATATTTTACATAATTAAAAACAAATAAATGTTAAAAAAATATTTAAAGACGAGATTAAATTACGTTTTTTTAAATACATTTTTTATATGTTGTTTTTTTTTCGCGCGCACACCCAAATTTTCTCATTTAATTAATTTTATTTTATTTTTTGATTAACTCAATATTAAATTATTTAAAACGGTTTAACTAAGTTAAATAAAAAAAAAAATTGTTTTTTTAAATTTTAATAATTAATTATAATAATATACATTTAAATAAAAATAAAAATATTTTAAATAAACTTGTTTTTTTTTCCCTCTCTCTCTCTCTCTCTCTTTCTCCTATATGTATATATATAAATATTTTTTTCTAAACTTTATTTTCTAAGACAAAAAAAAAAAAAAAAAAAAAAAAAGGTGATAATAATAATAATAATAAATTTACGCCGCTATCATACTTTGAATATGAGATTCTTTTTTTGATGACGAAGTTTGATTGTCATTTGATTTTCTTTTGTTTTTTTCAACATGACCAAAACAATGTTCACATTCATTGTCATCATCGGAGGAAGAACTGTCTTCTGGAAGTCTAGGTTTTTTGTATATACAACAACCTTTTTGCCACCCCCAAAGAAAAAAAAAGAAAAAAAAGGAAAAAAAAAAAAATTTTTAATTGATCTGGATTTGTCTCCCACAATTAATAAAATAATCAATTTTCTATCCTATGCTATATTAAAACAATTTGTTCGATGAGAGTGCCTTGATTAAAATACTAATTATTTCAATTAAATATTCATGCATTGCAAGTTCATTAAAAAAAAAATGTTTGCCTTAGGATTTGATTATTTTTATTTAAAATAATAATACTTACATTTTGATTTTTTCTTATCCATATTTTCATTATCTACAGTTTCATCTGTCCAATTAACTTTTTTTCTAGATTTAGGCTTTTTAAGTTTGAATCTGACAGTTGTCACATCTGGCTGAAAAAAAAAAAAAAAAAAAAAAATATTAATTTAAAGGTAGGAATAATTGTGTTTAAAGTTAAAAATTTATGTTGAATAATAAAATAATTTAAACACAAAACAAAACACAAACCTATAAATCACTCCCTTACTTTTCAAATGATTAATTTTTTCATCAGAATAATTTAATATATTTTTTAAAACTTCTACTGTGTGTTCCCCCAAAATTGGAGGAGGTAAACATACATTATTTGGGGAGTTACTAAATTCTACAGGAGGACCAACCATTTTTATTTTTCCTGCGATATCATGATTAACTTCTTTTATTAAATTTATTTCTTTAATGTGCTTATCATTAAAAACCTGGGAAATTTTATTAACTGGACCAAAAGGAAATGATGATCCTTCTAAAATAATTAGCCATTCTTTTAATGATTTTTCCATTATTTTATTTTGTATTATATCATCTAATTCTACTCGATTTAAAACTCTATCTGAATTTTTTTTGTATTTTGATTTTTCATATTCTGATATAAATGTTATTTCTAATCTGTTACACAATTCTTCAAATTGTGAATCGCTACCAGCTCCAATGGTCAAGTATTCAGCATCTGATGTTTCATATGATCTGTAGGGAACAATGCTTGCATGCGAATTTCCCCATTTTTTTCCTTCTTGTCCAGCATTCAGATAATTTGAGCCAATGTTAATAAGGCATGCAAGTTGAGTAGAAAATAAGTTGCAATCAATATGCTGTCCTTGGCCAGTTTTTAATCTTTGAAAAAGAGCAGCAAGAATTGCACCATGTGCATATAATCCAGTAGCTATATCTGTCATTGCAACTCCAGGTTTGCATGGAGGGCCATTTTCAGGTCCTGTAATACTTAATAATCCTCCATATGAAGCAGCTATAACATCATATCCTGGTTTATGTTTGTAGGGCCCTTTCCAACCATAACCAGTCAGTGAACAATAAATTATATGAGGTGATACTTTTTTCACATCTTCATATCCCAAACCCAATTTATTTAATTTTCCAGGTACAAAATTTTCAATTAAAACATCACATTTTTTAGAAAGATTCATTATAATTTCTTTTCCTTCCTGAACTTTTAAGTCAATGCAAACACTTTTTTTATTACGATTAAGTCCCACGAAATAACAAGTTTCCGTGGTATCATTCACAAAAGGGGGGCCCCACCTTCTTGTTTCGTCTCCTGAGCCAAGCTTTTCAATTTTAATTATGTCAGCACCTAAATCTCCTAAAATCATTGTGCAATAAGGACCTGCCACAATTCGAGTCAAATCTAAAATTCGAATATTTTTTAACGGTCCTTCACAAGTAGAGTAAAACTTGTCGATGGTAAAAAGCTTTTTTTTTTTAATGAGCACTTCACGAGCACATTTTAAAGTTTTCAACATTTTCAAATTAAGACACAAGTCAAGTGTAAAATGGCGAATAATGTTTAAATTAGATAATATTTATATAACATACCTGCAAAACAGAGTTGGTTTCACCATCATTTAATGTGACAGTAACTGAAGAATTGTTCACTTGAGAAGTTGTCGGATGATAAGCCATACAAGTCTAAAAAGGAACTTAAAACACAAAATAATTCACGTCAACGTTGCTTTTAATCAAATTATAAACAATTAAAGATATAAAAATAATAATTCATAAGAGTATTTTGCTTAGATTTGCTTTTACTTAAAATTTTGCTACAATTAATAAATTTATTTGCTATATGCAATGTAGATATAAATGTCGCGGTAAGTTAAAAAATTCATTTTACATCATTATAATATACATATACATTTATTTAAGGCATAAAATGATAAAATGATTGTAATTAATAAAACTTTTATCATAAAATTAAACATTAAACATTAAAAATGTAATATCAGAATAAAATACCTTTGATAAAAAGAAAAGCTTTTAAAAATTTTTTTTAATTTAATCAAATACTACGAAAATTCATTAAAAATTATTAACAATTAAAAAAAAGTATTTTTTTTTATCTTGTATTTGCTATAAATTACTTCGTAGTTTTTTAACTAACTTTAACTGTCTTAAAATAAATTTTATTCCACCGTTAATCATTATTTAGTATATATGTCACAGGAAATTAGTAAATTGCTTTAAGTTAATCTTTACTTCTTAATTCTTGTTTTGTTTCTGTTTAAATTTAAAAAAAAAAAAAAAATTTGAAATTATTTAAAATTCTTCGGTTAAAAATTTTTTTATTGTTTGTTTTTATATTTTTTTCGTCAATTAATTTATTCGTTCAACAATAAATATTGAATAACCCAAAACAATTACATAATAATACACAATTTTATTTGTATAAATTACTTAAATTATTTATTCAGTTCATGTCAGGCTTAAATTAAATAGTAATTCTAGATTTGGTATAACAGTAAAACTTAAAATTATATAAATATAAATATTAAAAAAAGTAACATTAAAAAAAAATGTTAAAATAACCTTAGAGTACAATAACTCCTATAAATAATTAAAATATTACGTTTGAGATAATTTTTCAATAATATTATTCATTCGATATTGAATGTGCTTAAATATATCTTCGGCTAATTCTTCAACGATAGTGTAACGAGTTTTTTGAAAACTGAATATATCAATTAAAAATGCCATTACTTCGTGCTGGAAATATAATAATATACAATATTTTTAAATTTTAAATCATATTAAAAAATTTACGTTTAATATTTAGACATTTGGTTTTATGAATGTAAAAAAAAAAAACAAACCTTAAAATAAAAACAAGTTTCTTTCAATTTTTCATCGGGGCCTAAAAATCCCCAAGCCATTAGTGGAGACATTTGCTCTGAAATTGCGTAAAAATGAGACATGAATCCCCCTGGAAATTTTAACATCTTTCTCTTGGCTTTTAAAACAGACCATACGGCTGTGGTCAGAGCCTGAAAAAAAAATTAAAGAATAAAAAAAAATTCACTAATAATTATTTGTGCGTGTAACACAATGTAAAAACAAATGAATTTTCCAATAAAAAAAACAATGGAAACTCAAAAATAATAATAAAATGGGCAATTTACATTAAAAAATATAATAAACTTATATTGATTTTACGACTCAGAGTAATTTATCTAATGTTATTACCGTTTCTTTAAAACCATTAGATAACCATCTATTTTGAACAACAGCGGTAACTGAAGACGGAGGTGATGCCAAATCTTCAAATGCGTCCATCAATATGTAATCCAAAACAACATCATAAAATGTCAGAGCTTTAACTTCTTTAGCAAACAATTCAGTTTCAAAATCTTGCCAATTTTTTTTATTTTGCAAATAACCCAACATGTCTTCGTACGCAATTAAAAATTCTTTTGGATCCTGTAATTATTATAATTAAAACTTTTTAAAATGTATTTTATTTTTTTTTATCCTGAGTATTAATTTATGTTTATAAAAAAAAAAATTATTTTACTTTATCAGCATACAATATCAAATCAGTTAATACTTGACGACCTGAATCGGCAAACCACAACCACATTGATTGGTCTTTGAATATATATCTAAATGCTAAACGTATGCAATGAAGTTTTCCCAGGTATTCTATATCGTTGGCACAGTGAACCATTTCAGTTCGCAAACATCTAAATGGAATACCCGATGTTTCTAATTGTTGTATAGCTGATTGATAAAGTGGAAGGTTGGAAAAATCGGAAAAAACATCTGAAAACTCTTCAAAATCTTCCAGGTCGGCTATCTGTAAAATAAATATTGTCAATTAATTTTTAATATAAATTTTACTTACATTTTACAGTTTTATGTATACTTACTTCATCTTGAGCTGATACAAATGATTCTGCACATGATAATGATATTCTACTTTCAATTTCTCCACTTTCGCTATGCAATTTATTGGAGCTTTCAGTTCTAAATAACACTGATCTCTGAAAAAAGAAAAAAAATATTTATTTTTAATTAAATTTAAAGGAAACATATTTTCCCATATTATCTATAATTTTATTTACCTGGGACCAAATTACTTTACGGTTAAAAATATCATATCCTTACCTGATCTAAAAATAATAATTCACTTTCTTCTTGCAAATTGTACGCGGCATCCAATAATTTTTGCAATTCTCTGGAAAATTCGGCATCTTCAACATTTGTAACGGCCAAAGACAAATTATCGGCTGTTTTCGCGCCATATGCCGACAGTGCATCTTCCCAATAACCAATCGTAGTTTCAAGAGCTTCCATTCCTGTGTAATTAAAAAAAAAAATTTATCATTTGATTTAAATAATAATAATAATAAATCATTTTATTCATTCATAAAAAAAAAAAAAAAAAAATTTCAATCAATAAATTTTTAATAATTAAACATTTTTACAGTTAAATTATATCTACATATAATACTTGGTTATTTTTGGTATAAAATAAAATATATATATTAAAAAGCAAAACGTAATAACGAATGGTTGTATATTGTATTTTATTATTATTATTATTATTATTATTTTATTTCAATATGTGTCAACGACATATTAACGATAAAATTACATTGGATAAATAGATTTAAAAAAAAAAAAAAAAAACATACTCCAATATATTTTGTGTTGTAAGGGGATCAGAGAAAATTGAAAAATATAGATTAATTAATAAAACATCTGAAAAGTTTTAATCATTTATGTAAATGAGAGGGATAAAAATTAAATTAATATAATTTTTTTAACATTTAAAAAAAAGAAAACTAAATGACCCTGAATGATTCACAATGACATACCGGTCCATGGGCAATTTTTAGTCGTTTTATAGGATGACGTAATAAAAGTTTTTTCATCATCCAATGAGAGAGAGAATGTAATGGCGTTGCCGTCGCAGTGGCAACAATACGAAACAACGCTCAAAGGGTCTAATGGCTATAAGAGTTGGAAACTGCAGTCCGCAACATTTCATACAGATTTGCGTAGTTTAAAAAAAAAAAAAGAAATAAAAATTAGTTTTTTTTATTCGCGTTACATAAATGTTGAATTTTGTTTTTCACATTAGGTTTATAAATATTTTTGATTACTATTAATTGTTTTATAAATAGGATATATATAATATACATAGAAAAAAAATTGAAGGTAAGAATTATATTTTGCAATACTCAAAAAATATCACCGTAAAATGCATCACGAAAATGTTAGTTTACATATTTCTAAAGTATCATTTATAATTTTAAGAAATCTGAAAAAAAAAAAATGTATAAATTTTTAAAATAATATTTAAAAACTTTAAAATATATAAAACCAGAGAGCAAATTATACAAATATATTGAAAAATAAGGGGATAAATTTTAGATAAAATTGATTTAAGTGAATTTTTTGATTTTAAACCCAAATTTAACAATTGAAACCGATCGAAGACATACTCACTGTTTTTTTTTTTTTTTTTTTGAATCTAATGATTTATCGGAAAACGTTTTCTTAAAAAAAAAAAAAAAAGAAAAAGAAAAAAAATTGATTTTGATAAATGTGGTTAAAGAATAAATTAAAAAAGTTTTTGTAATTTTATTTTTTTCGTACCTGTTACGCATTTGATTTACAGGAATCACGGTTACTTTAATTTTTTTTTTTTTTGTAACATTTGTGCTACGGTTAATTTAAATAAGCCATAGATTAACCATTAAAAAATTACGAATTAAATTAAAAGTGTTACAATAAATTAATAAATAAGAATTTTATGTATATGTTGTAATTTATACATAAATGACAACTGTAAACTGTAAAAAAAAAAAAAAAAAAAGTTTGCAAATTACTTGAAATACATTTTTATTACAAAACATATTTTAATAGTTATTAAAATATTAAAAAAAAAAAAAGGGGGGCAGAATTTAATTGTTCTTTATATTAATATTATTATATATATGTATAATGTTAATTTATATAAATGACCTTTTGACATTACTTATTACGTTTTATTCAAATCATATAAAAATTTACTAGTTTGGTTCAATTTTATTAAACTTGTACATTACACACATACATATATATATATATATGTAAAACATTAAAAAAAAAATTTAATGTATAAATGAAAATTTAACCGAGTAATATGGTAGAATTTTTTAAAAGTATTTAAGTTTAAAAACATTTAAAATATTGTAAAAACCGATTAGTTTAAAAAATAATAATTTACTAAGTCACGGATTTAAAGTTGCCTAGAATGCCGCACACGTGCATCAGCTTATTTTATGAAACTTGTGACCTTTTATGATAAATACCCGGCAAATAACCTAAAATAACTAAAACGGACCTGGATTTATAGGTTTTATTAACTTATATAATTAATCCTTGTCATATATGCTTGCTATCTTATTCCTTTATGCGAATTTACTGCAATATTGCAATATTCTACACTATAAAGCACATAAATCATCGTATCAATATTTATTAAAAATTAAATTATTATTGTTTTCACATCATGATTGAATGAATGAAAATATTTTTCAATTTTATGTACGTTTTAGACTTTTTCTTTTCTTTTCTTGAGTTAATTCCGCGAATAATAATAAAAGAAAAAAAAAAAAAAAAAAAAAACTTAATTTTTCAGAGTTAAATTTCGATGCATTTCTCGGTTTGTTTGATACCTTCTGACACATCCACATCTTTTAATATATAAAGAAGTTTTAAAAAAGTAAGAAGAAGCTTCTTATCAACTCTTTGTAGAAAAGAAGGGAGTTGTCATGGTTACAACCAAAGCTCGTGAGTACATAAAAAATGAGTAAAATAATAATATTTTCTTTAAAACTATTCGTTAGACATCTTTTTAAAAATAACAAAAATTTGTATTTTACATTATTTTAAAAAAAAAATACTAATGGTATATATGCTGCATACATTTTCCTTGCACTCACTTGAACACGACTAATAACAATATTTAATATCTTAAACTTTTAATACGTTTCTCTCT